CAGGCCCTGAAAAAAATAAATACCCTGGGCACATGCAGGCCTCGTACCTTGCTAGAACCTGTACATGGTAAATGATATAATTGTTAGATGTGATGATTGCTTAGTAATTAAATAGAATTGCTGTTTAATCGTAAGAATAATCACGAGAAACTGTGGTCAGGGGCCTGAGAAAGATCCCGAGAAACTCGTGCTTGAATAAAGTCAATGTGTACAATAGGCCAGTGTAAGTTTAATAATGAATAGGTAAGTTATATAACGATGGGATATAAAATCAGAGTCAGATTTGGGTCTGCAGCCCGGAATTCCCAGAGCTCCCGAGCAAAGCACCTGCATGGAATCCTATCCCGTGGCTATGAGCGTTCCTGAACGCTGGCAAACCCAATCCCACGGACGCGGAATTCACCTTCCCGGAGAAAAGCTGCCTGGAAAAACGGGATGGGGACCATCAGGCCGTGGAACCGGGCGGGCTTTAGGCTCCTTCCCACCCCAAACCGTTGCACAGGGATTCAGGAGCCCAACCCGTTCACCTCAACAGGGCGACCCTTCCACGGGAATTTCCCGGCTTTCTTCCCGGCCTCCTTTGGCCCGGGCACACCGGGACGCTCCGAGCCTCCCTCTCCTCCCAGGATTTGTTATTCCCTGGCAGGATTGCCCAAGAACCAGGAGAGGACTCAGGTGCAGCTCAGGAGGACTGGAATTATATTTCCCACTCCCCAAATCCGCTGTTGCTCAAGAGGACTTTGCGACCGGCGGCTGAATTCCTGCTGGGACAACAACAACAACGTTTCCCAATTTCCCAGCTGGACACGGACACGGAAATGAGGATTTTATACGGATTCAGCAACTGCTCAGGGTTGCGTGAACATCAGCAGAGCCGGGAAAGCAAATTCACCAACATGGGGGAAAAAAATCATCCCGAAAAAACGCCCTCCAGTCCTGAAGGAGTCTCGTTCTCCAGCTTCATTCCTTAGGGATGGATTTGCAACAGGCCGGGGGGAACGGAGAGGAACAGCGCGTTAAAATATGGGATTAAAACATCAGCACTCCAAGATTTGGGCTGTGGAATCGATGGGATTGGATTTTTTTCATGGTATGGTTCCGTTTGGGAGAGACCCTCAAGATCACCCACTCCCATCATTTCCTTGATGGAAAAGTGGATTTAATTTTTTCCTCTGTTCCTCTTGTTTAAACGCTGAGGGGGGGTTTCTGAGTTGTTCCAAGCGTTTACATAACTTAAAAATATTAAAAGACAACAGTCTCACGTTTCCATGGCGATGGAGGCAGCGGGAATTCACGGGCTTGAGTTGTTGGCGTCTCGTTTTTTAATCAAGGTTGAAAAGCCAGAGGAAATTTGCTTGGAGCTTCCCTGAAAAGCCCCAGGCAGAACAAAGAGAATTCAGGAATAGAAGCATGGAATGGTTTTGGGTTGGAAGGGACCTCGGCCACGTCCCCAAGTGCCACATCAGACCCCTCGGAGATGTCCTGATTTTCCTCTGGAATGGTCCAAGGAGCTCCCTGGGGTCGTGGGAGGTGTCCCAGCCCATGGCGGGCAGGTGGGAACTCGACGAAATTCCCTTCCGACCCAAACCATTCCAGGATTTGGTGGCGGAATGGATTTTCTCGGATCGGGATGCGTAGAGAAAACGAAATTTCATTCTGCGCAAATCAGGTTAAATTGAAACAAAAAAACAAAACAAAACAAAAAAACCCAGAAAAACAACCAGCCCGAAACGAAACGTTTCCAAAACTAAACCTTAAAGAGCAACAGGAGCGGGAGGAAAAAAACCCCAAAATTTTACTGACTCACCCTTTCCCAGCCTCCATGCAGGTCCCAGAGGAGCTCAGAGGAGAAAACCTGATGGGTTTTGGATCCTTCTGCTCCAAAAAAAAACCCACGGGCTGGACGTGAGGAAGATCTCGCAGCCCTGGAAAAGAGAACACGAGAGGAGCACCCCGGGCACGGTGGAGCTGCTGAGACAGCCGGCCAAATTCCTGGGAAAATTGCAAGTCAGGGATTGTGCTGAGGCTGGAAAGGGAATAAAAGGGTTTTGTGGTTGGGTTTCGCGCCGTGACCGAACTTGTCCCCTTCTTGGCAAATTGAATTTCCCCGAGTTTTGGCCACGGGGTGAAAAACCCGCTCCGAAGGTCTCGTGGTGTCCTCAACTCATTTGGCACCCCGGCCAGATGTTCTTTATCCTCCCCCCCAAAAAAATATATATATATATTTTGGGCTCGGGGCGTGTTGAGTTTTGGGGTGTGTTGATGGACGTGGGGGCGAGGGAATGCCCGAGCGAGCAGCGGGAAGGGCTGGTGGGGTCGAGGGAGAAGTTTGGGGGGCGTGTTGAGTTTTGGGGTGTGTTGATGGACGTGGGGGCGAGGGAATGCCCGAGCGAGCAGCGGGAAGGGCTGGTGGGGTCGAGGGAGAAGTTTGGGGGGCGCAAATTTCAGCGGAGACCCCCGGGAGGGACAGAGCGGGCAGAGCTGGGGGTTGGCCCGGAGGGGTTGGAGCCCCCCGAGTTTGGGGGTCCCCATCCCAAAGGACGGAGGGAATGGGAGCACGGTGGGGGGGACACGGGTAAATACGGCATTACCGTATTTACAAACGGCGGCTGCGCGTACCGTAATTCCCAGCGGCCGCCGCGCTGCTTTGAAGTGCGCATGTGCCAAAACCGACGCCGGGTTTTGGCGTGCGCGTGGGACCGCGACCGTAATTCCACCTTGCGCATGCGCACTGCAATCAGCCTGTTCTGAGTGCGCGCCGCACGGTTACCGTAATCCCCGGCGCGCACGCGCATCGCAGCTACAGGAATTCTGGCTGCGCATGCGCACTTAGGTACCGTAATGTCCGATGCGCATCCCCTACCGCGCGTCCAAGAGCGCATGCGCACAGCGGGCAGCGCGGTTCCAACGAGGCTCACGCGTTACCGTAATTCCAAATGCGCACCCGCCACTACCGCGTTTCCAAACACGCATGCGCGCCACAGCTGCCGTAATTCCGAGCGCTCCTCCGAGCACAGCTACCGTAAGTACAAATGCGCATCACATCTCAGGTGCCGTGATTCCAAGGGCGCCGTGATTCCAAAGGTACCGTATTTCCCAAGGCGCATGCGCCCCCCCCCTCGCTGCCCTTGCCAAACGCGCCTGCGCGCCACCAGTACCGTAATTCCGCATTTCGCGCCCATCCGGTGTCTCCCAGAGCGCATGCGCACCACAACTACCGTAATTCCGACCGCATCGCCCACCGGAACTCCGCTGTTCCCAAGCGCGCATGCGCACAATTACCGTACTTCCCGAAGAGCCGCACAACCCCCCCAGTCACAAATGCGCTTGCGCGCCGCAGCTACCGTAATTCACCGGTAATTCGGGGCGCGCATCCCAGCACAACTACCGTATTTCCCGACGCGCGCCCACCACAACCACCCGTATTTCCGAACGCAACTACCGTAATTCCAGACGCGCACGTCACTAAAAAACTACCGTATTTCCCAGCACGCACGAGAACACAACTACCGTAATTGCAGACGCGCACTCACTAAAAAACTACCGTATTTACGAGTGCGCACGAGAACACAACTACCGTAATTGCAGACGCGCACTCACTAAAAAACTACCGTATTTACGAGTGCGCACACAAACACAACTACCGTAATTGCAGACGCGCGCTCACTAAAAAACTACCGTATTTACGTGTGCGCACAAGAACACAACTACCGTAATTGCAGAAGTGCGCGTCACAAAAAAACTACCGTATTTACGAGTGCGCACAAGAACACAACTACCGTAATTGCAGACGCGCACGTCACAAAAAAACTACCGTATTTCCCAGTGTGCACAAGAACACAACTACCGTAATTGCAGACGCGCGCTCACTAAAAAACTACCGTATTTCCCAGCGCGCACAAGAACACAACTACCGTAACTGCAGACGTGCACGTCACTAAAAAACTACCGTATTTCCCAGTGCACACAAACACAACTACCGTAATTGCAGACGCGCACTCACTAAAAAGTACCGTATTTACGAGCGCTCATAAGAACACAACTACCGTAATTGCAGACGCGCACTCACTAAAAAGTACCGTATTTACGAGCGCACACGACAACACAACTACCGTAATTGCAGAAGTGCGCGTCACAAAAAAACTACCGTATTTATGAGTGTGCACAAGAACACAACTACCGTAATTGCAGATGCAAGCTCACTAAAAAACTACCGTATTTACGAGAGTGCACGGCAACACAGCTACCGTAATTGCAGAAGTGCGCTCACTAAAAAACTACCGTATTTACGAGTGTGCACAAGAACGCAACTACCGTAATTGCAGAAGTGCGCGTCACAAAAAAACTACCGTATTTCCCAGTGCGCACAAGAACACAACTACCGTAATTGCAGACGCGCGCTCATTAAAAAACTACCGTATTTACGAGCGTGCATGGCAACACAACTACCGTAATTGCAGATGCGCGCTCACTAAAAAAACTACCGTATTTCCCAGCGCGCATGAGAACACAACTACCGTAATTCCAGGCGTGCGCTCACTAAAAAACTACCGTATTTCCCAGTGTGCACAAGAACACAACTACTGTAATTGCAGAAGTGCGCGTCACAAAAAAACTACCGTATTTACGAGTGCGCACAAGAACACAACTATCGTAATTGCAGACGTGCGCTCACTAAAAAACTACCGTATTTCCCAGCGCGCATGAGAACACAACTACCGTAATTCCAGGCGCGCGATCACTAAAAAACTACCGTATTTCCCAGCGCACGCGAGAACACAACTACCGTAATTGCAGACGCGCGCTCACTAAAAAACTACCGTATTTCCCCGCGTGCACGAGAACACAACTACCGTAATTGCAGACGCGCGCTCACTAAAAAACTACCGTATTT